ATTGGATCTCAAGAGACTTTCTGGTTCAATAAATGATACATTGATGTCTCCACACTGATGGTGGACCAAATGACATCCATGAACATCTAAATTCAACCAACATGTAAAACTGCATTAAAAGAGGAACAGTGACGACAGCAGAGACCAGTGGAATGTAACTAAGTACATTTACTCATATTCCAGGTAGCTGCACTTTACTTGAGTATTACCTTCTACTTCACTACATCTCAGAGGCAGATATTGTACTTTTACCACACTATTCCTCATACCCTTCCTGTCCAGTGAAAACCTTGTATGTCCAGATTGGTGATTGTTTTCTGTTTTTTGATAAGTATTCCTCTATGGATTGATTCTCTTTACACTAAATAACTATTACTAGCTGTGTATAAAAGAGGGATGTTTATCCATTTAACTCTTGAATCTAAAAGGATAAACTCTGAGCTGCATCTTGTTCCATAGTTGTGATTGTCTCTGAAGTGATTGAAGTAGTTGAACAGATATTTGGGGATCTTTTTATGAGCAATTTTATGGGTAACTTTCTTTGTATTACATTTTCAACTAGATGAGTACAGGAGGTATCACTGTGGTATACTATTAAACCAGGAGATGGCGCCACAGTCAAACTGTTCACTGACTGATTTTGTTCTTCATATTTCTTTATCACTGTGAACTCTGATAAATCCTCATTGTTTTTGGTTAGCAGGTCAGCATTGTTAGCATTCATTAGGGTTAACTATTCTGGCTAAACACTCAATTTCTTAAACTTAAAATAATAGAGATAAAATATTTAGTGAAATATGAAACATCATTTCCTGTGTGTGTCTGTAAACAGGTGTGATGTGGACGTGTTTTTCTAAAATCATCTTCATTTTCCAAGAACTGTGTTTGGTTAGACACTGGGTCTCATAACCTGCTGCCTCATTACAGAAAAGAATCCTAAACTCATGGCAGTGTCCTATCCTATCTCAGACCTTAACTGGAACTGTAAACTCCATTCTTCAATCAACATTCGCCCTGTCATGCCTGTAACTGTGTGTGGCACCTGCCCTATTTATATATACGTATATACACCCATCAGCCATAACATTGTGACAACCAGGGTGTCCAGGTGGTCATAATGTATGGCTGATGATAACTCAACATTTGAATACAAGATGAATGAAAATAAAAAATGTCCCTTTAAAATAAATGAGTCTTTGTCGATAGTCTTTTAAGTCTGTGATCACTTTCGAGTTTTGTCTTGTCAGTCCACTGTCTGTGGTTCTTAATATCAATGACTGTTCCAGTGATACGTTTCTGGTGATGGGGTGCCCCCGTTTTGAACGTGTGTAGCAGTCCTGGCGACTTGATGAGTCACTTCTGGGTTCCAGGTAGAATCCCTCTGGGATCAATCAATGGGAATGGATCTTCAAAAGTGGCTCTCACTCTGTCCATAACAGCAAACATGGACACTCTATACAGGAAAGGGCAGAGCCATCTGTACTTCCTGAGAAGGCTGGGGTCCTTCAACATCTGTAAAAAAAACTGCTGCAGATGTTTTACCAGTCTGTGGTGGCCAGTGTGCTCTTTATGCTGTGGTTTTCTGGGGAGGAAGCAGCAAGAAGAGAGACACCGGCTGACTGGACAGACTGGTGAGGAGAGCTGGCTCAGTGGTGGGCACAGAGCTGGACTCTCTGGTGACAGTGGCAGAAAGAAGGGCCCTGGACAAACTGCTGTCAATACTGGACAACACCCACCACCCTCTGCACAACACCTTCACCAGGCAGAGGAGTGTGTTCAGTGGCAGACTGCTGTCCCAGTCCAGCTCCAACAACAGACGGAAAAACTCTGTCGTCCCCCATCAGACTGCACAACAGCTCTTAGTAAAGGCAGGGAGGACAATAGATAATAGACAATGCTCAATTTTGTACTCCATCTGCACTGCTTACTGTTTGCACTGTTTACTGTAGCTACTGTGTTATAAGTTAATTTAGTATTTTTTTATTTATTTTAATGTATGTTTAATGTCTTGTATGCTACTGGATACTTGAATTTCCCTCGGGATAAATAAAGTAAATTTCTATCTATCTATCTATCTATCTATCTATCTATCTATCTATCTATCTATCTATCTATCTATCTATCTATCTATCTATCTATCTATCTATCTATCTATCTATCTATCTATCTATCTATCTATCTATCTATCTATCTATCTATCTATCTATCTATCTATCTATCTATCTATGACCTGACCTGTTTTATGCAAACAGGACTTTTAGATTCAGTTTTGTCTATTTGTTATTATACTAATTATATAATTATATTATACTAAAGTGTAACAATAATGTAACACTAAACATCATATATAATATAACACTCACTGTTCAGGCCTTACATTACACTCTAGTTCAATAAACTTTGAGTTTCAATATCAATATCAATATCAGAATTATTACCAACATACATCATTGTACTGTTGATTAAACAGTGACTAATGACAATAGCATTAAGCTTTTACCTCCGTACAATATTAGGAAGGATTATGGCAGTATACATGTTGTATGGCCCTGCTAATATTCCCACCCTCCAGTGTCAATACAATTTCAATCAACTATCACCTTCTCCACAGTAAAATGTAAGAATTGAACATTTATCCCTTAATAATAACAACAGAACAATAATGGAAAACATGGTATTTTAACATCCTTTCCTTCACATATAGTAATGTACAATTTACTGAACTATTCATTGCAACAAGGAAATTACAGTAAGTAGGCCGCAGTAACAGCCAGCTGAACTGTGTGTTAAACTGTTACTATTCCAGCAAATTAACCAAAAACTTGAATCCCTCATCAGCTATCTACAACTGTTATCTATCAACCACTTCCCCTTTTTACTAAGTTTGATGCTACTCTTCTATTTCCTTTGCTCCGGTCGCAGTCAAATGACCACATCTCTCCTCTCTTCCTCACATTAACAATAGATCACACAGTTGCATCATGATCTGTCAATCAAGCTCAGCTAGGGCGGGACTTAACCAAACTATAATTATGAGTGGCTGATTCCTCTCTGCTTACGTAAGGACAGTAACATTATATTAATATATATTTTAACCCTTTATTGTCACTGGGTTACATATATATGAAACAAACTAACAGGAAGAGATCCACCAATGTGTGAAACCTGTTTCACATGTACTAATGCATCCACATGTGTGTAAGTATCACTTTTCATGTATCTGTTGTTAGTGTTCTCCATTATTATGTACTTTTACTGAGGAGGGTGATGGCACCCCCCTCTTCCTCAAATCACCTACTGTGAAACAAAACTAGTCCATGCATTTGTGACTTCTATGCTGGATTACTGCAATTATTTCTTATCAGGCTGCCCCAATAATTCCCTGAAGACTCTCCAGTTGATCCAGAATACTACGGCACATATTCTGACAGGAAAAGAGATCATATTTCTCCTGTACTAACTTCTCTGCACTGGCTCTCTGTAGTTGTCAAAGTGCACTGAGATGACTTCTGTTATGATTTGCTGCCATATGAATAAAATTGAACTGAATCATATTCTATAAGATCATCATATCACTCAGGGTTGGTCTGTTAAAAACAGTTCATTGCTGTTTCAGGGTCCCTGAACTGGCTGCAGTTTATAGGGTTTTACTCTAAATAAAATATCTTGACTGGTCGTAGGTGGTTGAGATAACACAGAGAGACAGTTCAAACTGGAACACACTCGATCTGGAAAACTAGTGGTGATGTTAGTTTTACTGTGATATTCTAAAATTAAGAATAAAAATGAATAAACCTTCGCTAGGTTATTGTTGAGGTAACATCCTGTCAAATTCTTCCGAGGTGGAGCTGATGTTTCTCAGACTCATATACAGAACTTATCAGTCAGGTTTGTGTTAGGAAACAGGGTGATAAACTGACATAAGCTACTTCTCTTAACTTTAAATGAACACTTTATGAGGATGTTCACAATGAGTGAACTTTTATTTTGTCTCTTTCAATTAAAAATATAAAGGTTAAGATTTAATAGTGACTTCTGTCAGATCTATTCTTAGCACACTTCAGAGCAGCTGCATTATAAAGTTGACACATTTTCAAGAACTACTGCAAGAGGAGTGAATGATGCAGTCACATCGCTTTTCACACAGACCCGCCAACTTGGTTAAGTCCCACCCATTCTGAGTGCAAATACAGATGCAGATGATGTAGTTGGTTGAAGAGATACAGATAACGGTGTCTTTGCTCATCCCTTTCCGCATCCATTACCCTTCTGTTTAAATGTTTAACTGCATTTGAAAAGTGCACTTCAACCTGATTTAGAACCAGCTTTGTAAGTTGTACTGTGGTTTATATGGGTTAGGGTTAGGGTCACAGATGTCGGTGATCGGGCCCTCGAACCCACCCTGCAGCAACTCTGACTTGACTGGACTGACTCAGACATCTTCATCATGCTGTAATGAACTTAATTGCAATGAATGAAGCAAGGAGTCGAGTCTGGCACAGCAACTAACAGCTGTAACACACAGTAGCAGAATCTCAGGCCTCACAAACAGCAGCATTTCCAGAGTGTCTATGGACAGAGAGCAGATTGTCATTATCGATGCTCTGATGTCAGTTTTTACCCAACTGACAGTTGAGAAGATTGATATCACTGTACAGCTTGTCACAGATAGGATGAGTACAGGGTTGTGTAGTAGTCATCAGATAAAGCCAGCAGTCCACTAGTCTTCCAACATTCATGATATTAATTAAATTATTTAAATATGTATGTTTTAAAAGCCACTTGTTGAACGCTAACAGATAAAGTGGAAATGATTCTGAATGTGTCAGAACAACCAGCAAGGAGACATTTACACTTCCCCCTACCCCCCTTCATCATCACTTATCATCATCATCATGTTGTGAGGGGAGCTAAATCCGCAAACTAACAGAGAAGGAGGAGCGAGATACAGGAAGGAAGTGTTAAATTAAAGCAGACTTCTGTGTGAAAGGATTGAAGTGACAGAGACAGTTCTCCTGCAGGTTAATGATTTGTCTCATCGGGATCAAATTCAAAATGAATATCCAACATGTTCTCTTCGTCTGCTTCTTATCAGGTGAGAACTGGGAATTTGTTTCTTATAACACTTTAAAAAGTAATTTAAAGCCTCCTCACACATGTTGTAAGGCATCTTTTCAAGTAAGTTGAGATCCCTGATCTGCTAAAACCACTTTGGAAAGCAAAGGACTTCATATCAAGTAACAGAGAAAGATAATGAATGAATAACGCAATGCACAGAGATTATAATAACCAAAAGCTGTATAATGATTGAAGTTGATTCTATATAACAAAATGAAATATGTAACAATGAAAGGAAACATGATTATATAATTGTAACGGATTATTTGATAATTAATTAGTATTAAGTATAAATGCATAGTAGTGAATTAGAACTATGGAAAGTAAGGTCAAGAGAGCAAATCATGTTGACGTGTTGAGTAACTAGATGAAAAGGCACGTACTGCAACGAGACATGTCCGGTGCGGAGAGAAAAGGGGAAGTAGTTAATCGTTATCAGTGAATATGAATAATCAATTTTGAATTAATTAAAGCTGTATGCCCTTGCTAATTCTTGCAATAAATATAACAACTGCAGTTAAAGAATAAATTGTAGACATCAGATTTATTTTATCTCTACAGACAATAATTATTAGGTAGGTTACTCTAGCCAAATAAATTAAACAGACCCTTGGGGCTTACTGTCCAAGCCACTAAAAATAATCCTAGCCACTACGAAGTGCACAGGTCAATAAGAGGAGAGCAGCTGTGAATGGACGTGACTAGTGTGGTATTTGACTCTAGGGCTATTCAGTCAGGTTCTGCACTAGAGTGAGCAGGATAGGCGTCTGGATGAAGGCAGTTAGAAGCCAGGCGTATCTCCTCGCCACCAGCTTAAATAGTCCTCTGCTGAGACCTGGCAGGGTAATACCCACAGGCTAGAGCAGGGGTGTCAAACTCATTTTGGTTCAGGGGCCACATACAACCCAATTGGACCTGAAGTGGGCCGGACCAGAAAATGAAGGAAAACTACCTATAAATAGCAACAACCCCTAATTTTTTGGTTTGTTTTATTGCAAAAAAATAGAAATACATTCTGAAAATGTTCACATTTAACAAACTTTCTTTTCACAAAACATTATGAACAACCTGAATTTTATTAAGGAAAATAAGTGCAATTTCAACAATATTTTGCCTCAGTTTATCATTTACACATGTGCATTACAATTTAAAGATCACAGTGGATTTGGATCTACAAAGCCACAGAACATTAAGTAACATGTACCTGGAACTGAAAAATACAGTATTTTACTTTATGATTAAAACAACTTTTCAAGATCTAGAAATTATTTATTTACATACTTTTTCACATCTGTGCAGTAATCCTGACCACCTGAACTGACTCACCGCACCATACAAACTAAAGTGGGAGGTATTAGGAAAGGTTAAGTTATCCTACTGCCTTATAAATGTATACATAAAAATACATGAAAGTTGTGGCAGTGCATGAGTAATAGAGTTCCACCAAACCAAACTCTTTTGTACTGAAGCTGCTGAATGACATATTAGTGCACAATGTTCAGTGTCTTTAAACATTCACACAGTAAGTATGCATTTTCACAGAGCTGTATTGTTCAGTGTGCAAAAGTGTCTAAAGCAGCATTTTACATGAATTAGGTTTACTCACTGTTTAATTTGCTCCTAAAACTTGGCATCTTTTAGTCTTTACAAGTGCATCAATATCAGGCATCAAATCCTGAGGAGCTGCCAATCTCAGAATGTCATTTAAGTTCTTATGTGTGAGCCTTGAGCGCAACTTTGATTTGTTGATGCTCATTACAGAGAAAACCTGTTCACAAAGGTAGGTAGTCCCAAACATGCACAAAACTTTTCAGCACTGAAACTTGCTGCGAACACACTGAGCACACAGGTTTCCCATTCACCTCTGTGAATAAATGGGAGTTGGTCCATTTTTCTGTGAAAACTCTACACTCTGTGTCCACTTTTCTCCTGTTTGACAAAGACATTTTGACTAATGAGTGTTTTAAGAGTAGCGTAGCTCCTTCAAGGAATAGAGCAGTGCGTGATGTGCGAGCATAACGTGTGTTTGGTGGTAGAGCGAGCGAGCGAGCGAGCAACGGTGAACAGCAGCAGAGCAGAGAGAGACAAGGGTTAGCCATAAGTTATCAGGTCTAGCAGTAAATGTACAGTGTGAGTTACAGTTGTCAGTGAATAAAGTTCAATAAAGCATTGTGCTATGTTCGATACTCTGTGTTCTCTATAGTTTTCACACTAAGCAAAGTCACCCCACGGGCCGGATCGAACCCTCTGGTGTAAGTTTGACACCTCTGGGCTAGAGGATCGGACCCTTTAAATGGAGAGCTGGTCCAGTACCACCTATACAGGGGTAACTCGGGATCTAACAATCTGTAAAATTATAGCCAGCCGGGGTGATTACCTGAAATAAAAGTCTAATAAAATTTCAGAAATGCTGCAAAAAAAAGCTTAAAATGCATAAACATACACACAGAATGTCCTTTACAGTGGCATGCTATTGTGTCTCGTCAAGTGTGTTAATTTTATCCATGTTCATGTTTAGTGTTTCATGTTTAGTCCTTCCTGTTTTATTTTCTACTCATCTTTTCCGTCACAATTCAGACCCTGACTTCCCCCCTTTGTGTGATTTTCCCGCCTTTGTAATTGTCTGCCCCGCCCCTGATTGTTTTCACCTGTGTTCACTTTCAACTAGTATAAATAGTCCTTGTCTCCCTTTGTCTTTGTCAGTTCGTCTTGTTCAGGTGGTAGAAAGAGTATAGTAAAGTGTTCCAGTTCAGAGTCCAGGTTTTTTCATGTGTCAATTAAAGTAAGACTTTTGTTTGCTTTTTGATATCCTCCTTGAGAGCGCCTTTTGTTGATGAATAAATATAGTTTTCCTACATTTTCGTCTGTGCATTTGGGTCCACCTATATTGTGTCAGAGGTCGTGACACATGCTATATACGCCATCCCATGATGTTGAACTTTGGCTGCCTCTGTATCATTCTCTGTGCAGTGATGGATTCACCCTCATTGACCTTCTGTCTGTTTTACAGTCAGTCTACAATACAGAAAGTACTGACCATCAGTGTTCTCTGCTCATCTTTTCAACAGCACTGTGTGGGGGAGACTCTGGGCTCGTCAGTGCAAGACTCAACCTTTACACAGGAGCTGTAGGAGGAAGTGGTACACTTGAGTGCACCTTGCGTCTGTCTGGAAGCAACAAGTTCTTCTGTAAGAAAGAATGTAAAGCAGAAGATATTCTAATTAAAACAGATGGTGTCAGAGCTCACAGTGGCAGATACAGCATTAAATACAGAAATGATTCTCCTGAAAGAGGAATTCTGTCTGTGACCATCACAAATCTGACCAAGTCTGACTCAGGACGGTACAGGTGTGGTTTGGGACAAACTTTGGTTCCAGGTTCATACAGGGACTTTGAGATCAGAGTTTCAGATGGTGAGTTTCTACTGAAAATAATTAAACTTGATATATTTAGTGTATTTAACATATTTAGTGAATTTTGTAGTAGGAAAATAAATAAAATCAAATTACATTGTGAGAAGAATGGGAGTTATTTATGGTGTACAGACTTTTTATTGATGTTTTATCAAATCATTACCACACCAGTCACAGACTGTGGTTGAACTGGGCAGCTCCCAGTGTGACTCTGAGTTAATGAGAAGCAGCAGATATTGTGATCAGAATACATCTTAAAGGACGTACAGACAGTAACTAATGATTGTTCATATTTCCAACAGCACCGTTGGGGAAAAACACTGTTTTTATCCGTACAAATACTGAAGGAGAAAATATCACTTATGGATGCAGCGATACTGTCTACGGAAAGAAGAAGTTCTTGTGTAAGGGCGATTGTAAAACAGAAGAGGACATTCTCACTGAAACAGAGGAGAACAGAGCTCAGAATGGCAGATACAGCATTGAATATAAAGAACGATCTGGACTGTATATGACCATCACACAGGCGACCAAGTCAGACACAGGATGGTACAAGTGTGGTTACGGCAGAGCTTTGTCTCCAGATTCATCTTATAAGTTACCAATCCTTGTCATTGATGGTGAGTTTCTTATTGAACCTCAAGAAAATGTTGCTTTATAATCCACGTACCTTTTGTCCAGTGAATATTAACTTTTAAAGAGCTGATAATGAAAAAAAACTTCTATTGTTATTTAAAATCTCAAAATAAATAATGAGAGAAATCAGTGTATCTTTTGGTCCTTGATTTTATTTTTAATAAAGGGCATAAAAAAACAAAAATAAATTATTTGATGTTCACTTTACAATACGAGAATGACATGGTCAAGGATGAGAAAAACTTTAAAAATAGAAAAAAAAGAAAACTTCCAGTTTGAATAAACGGAAAACAAATTTAATAAATGAAAATATGACCAAATATTTTATTTTTGATTTCTACTTTCATATTGGCATTGAATGTTCACATCCAATATATAGGAGATAACATTAATACTTGTGTTGATATTGTTTGAAAAACACCAGAATATGAATATTTTAGTAAATTCTCCACATATTACAGGCTTTCATTCAGTATCTGATTGTTTGTGTTTCCATTGATCACTGCTCCAACCACTTCCAAACCAAATGGGACTCTTTGACCTTCGAACATCATCGCCATCAGCCTCCACACCAACAGCAACAACACCAACAGCAACGCCAGCATCAGCAACCACCCAGTTGTCAGGTACAGTTCACAGTGAACTTTTTGTTCTCCTCCAAACTGTTTCCATCTTTTAGCAGCCACAGTTTTTTGCCCTAGGAGAATGACATCTGTCACCAGGAGGCTACTTCCCTGGATTTGTGTATAGCAACTGCAACTTTCTATCAATGAGGCTGACTTCTGCCATAGATGTCAGTTGTTTGTGAGGTTGTGTTTGTGTTTAAATGGGACAAAAACTGTTACTATTAGTCTGCCAGCACTACACGAAGAGAGCCTCATGTTTCATCATTAACGTGGAAGCGTCTGTAAAACAAACTTTTTCTTCTCTTCAATATCACACAGATGTGCTGCTGTATGTGATTGTGACTGCTGTCATCATCGTCATCATCTTGGGTCTGGTACTGACCATAATCTGCATTCAGAGGAACACCAAACTTGACTGTAAGGGGAACAGGAAAAATACAGTAACACAAATTACATTTAACAGGACGCTCACATCAAGGTTTTAACAACTTATTGCAACAGTACACATTTCAGTTTGACAGTGTGGCTCTGCTCATGAAATACTCTGGAAGGAATCTGAACAAACACAACACAGACTGTCCCTGAGCTAACAAACACACCTGGCAGAGCCTGAGACACACAACATTTAATGATCATGAACACATGTTCAAGGACATTCACCAACAAGTAAATGCTAATACACGAGGAAGCTGTGGAGCTGGAAGGAGGTACATTTCAGGAGAGGGAAAATAGCTATTTGGGAATACATAGCATTAGTTTTCTGCTGTTTGCAGGTTTTATAAAGTATCAGGATCTGTTCTGGGTACCAGCTGAAATGACTACAGTGTGCTAACAGTAGTTGGATCACTACAGACACTGAAACAGCAGTTTGAGAGTGTGGCTCTGGGGATGGCATTGTCAGTGTTCAGTCCACCATGTGGTCCAGACTGAAATATTTCAACATCTATTGGATGGACTGCCATTTTTGTACAGGAAGATCTGGTTTAGTTTTGTGTGACTGTGGTTGGTGTTTGATCATTGGCTGTTTTCCTGTTGCTTCAACCCAACAAGAGAGACCTTCAAACCTCATCTGCACTTTCAATAATGACTCAATATAACAGAGAAAATATTGTGTCTGTTCCACAGGTTGGAAGACCAGAGGGAACTCAGATGACACAAACATTGAGGTGACTGTCTTTAACTCTTTATTTACTCTCACTGTTGGCACAGATGTGCCAGTGCACAAGATAATCATTAGAGATGATCCGAGCTGATCCTATATCAGTATCAGGGCTG